AGAAGGTCGGAGGCCATTGATGTACTTGAGGTCTTGCTCAATGCGAACCAGCCATATGGTGGAGCGTCTCCACTGGGAAGATCTTTGTCCGCCCCACCACTTTGCAGTTGGTGGTATCCACCTCGAAGTATCTTGCAAGTCTGGTGATGATGGGGCAAAAATGCATGGTGTAGACTCGAGGTTGACCCAAGATCCTCATAGGGCCAATCTATAGTGTGCATAGCAACCATCCCGTGAAGAGTCCCTTGTCCCCTAGCTAGGATACTTGGGACAACTAAATGGGTCAGGAGCATGTGGAGAATCCTCCACTAGGGCCTGAAATGTGTCGCCCTGGTATCTCCCCAAAGGAAGGGGGCTTTCTATCCTCTGGTAGGCAGATCTCACAAAACACTCGCTGGACATCAAAATCCTGAGTGTATGCCCGCTCCGAGACCATCATGATCCCAGTGTGGAGTCCCAAAGCTCCGGCCAACATGTCATAGTTGATGGTGTGGTGGACTCTTCCCAGCATGAAATCAACATATGGCTGGGCGTGCTGACCTCGGGGCTGCTCGTGCACAAAGGTGGAGCAGTACTCTAAGCACAACTCCTAGTAAATATGATCATCGAGGCTGAGAACTATGCGCCACTAGGGATGGGCGATAGCTGCTGAGATTGCATAATAGTAGTGGAACGTGTCAAACATGTTCAGGTCGAGGCGCTAGCGGGGCCCTATATCCCCGTTCTTCCAAGACTCGTACCGGTCCCCATAGGTGGGGTGATCCACCAAATAGTTGATGTATGCATGCATTTGTTCAACCATCATGCTAAAACACCAAAAGTTCCAACATAAGTAAAATTGTATGATCCCAAATTACTTGCATTTGAAGCTTCCATGGATTGATCAAAAAGCTAGTTCTATAAGTATGAAAGAATCTAAAATTTGGCTAAGTATTTTCTATGTTTCAGGTTGTCAACTTTGAAGGCTCGGTTCTTTCAATTCGCTTGATGGAAATTCGAGTTTGATGGCTTGTTTTGAAGGTGAAGTATCCTTATGCAAGATGGATGGCCTAGAAATTCAAGATGAGTCTGGAAGGCCATGATTGAAGCTCTCCAAGTTGCCAATTCAAAACCGAGAATATGCCTATTTTTTGGCTAAGGCAAATAACGAGTTCAAGGTGCCTACTTTGGAGCCTAAAATCTGGAGTTTGGGACACATCCAGATGATGATTCGAGTTGGAATGGAAACTAAAACAGTTTCTAAACCCAGGTAAGGAATTGGATGAGATTGATTCAGGTTGGAAGACCATTTTCGAGGCTCCCAAAGAAGCTCCCTCGAACTGCCAGCAATCCGAATCCCATAAGGATTCCTAGTCCTATTCGGATTACATTTGTAGTTTAGTTTCCTCATTGAAATAGGTTAATTTTACGTAGTATTTAGCTTTGTTTGAGTTTGTTTAATCCTATAAAAGGCCTCAATCGTGTATTGTACATGTTATAAACGCGCTGCTACGGATCAGGAAATCGGCGAAATCGATAAAGCAAGAATACGAAAGCGAGAATCGAAAAACACAAACACACGATTTACGTGGTTCACTAACACGATGTGTGTTAGCTAGTCCACAGGCGAGAGAGAGCCAGTTTCACTATATCGAGGAGATTTTAGATTACAGAGGAGTATGAGAAGTATTTATAGTAATTCTCCTAGGACTAAACCTAATCCAATATGGTAAAGGAAAACAGTTACAGACCATGCCCAGAAGACCCCACTCGTTGTCCGGGCAGCGAGACCCCCGACTACCAGTCGTAGCGACTGATAGTCCGATTCAAGTCACATCAACAAATCTCCACCTTGACTTGAATCCTCTTCCTCTGAAATCTCTGATATACTCTGCTCCTTCTCTTTCTCTCCCGCCATCAATGTCCCGCACGGTGGAGTCACCCACTCAAGACATTCAGCAAGTCCAAGCAGTGTTGGAACTTGCCATGTGGAACCGGCTTCGTGAACATATCAGCAAGATTATCCGCGGTGCCAACCTTCTTCACCTTAGTCCTCTTCTCTGTCCTCGAGAAATGATACCTCACGTCGATGTGCTTAGTCCTCTCGTGGTGGACTTCATCCTTGGCGAAGAATATTGCACTCAAACTGTCGCAATACACCAATGCCTGATCATGATGTAGACCCAGATCACCAACCAGTCCCTTCAACCATATTCCCTCCTTAGTATCTTCTGTCAACACCATATACTCTCCCTCAGTAGTAGACAATGTCACCGCCGACTACAGAGTTGCCTTCCAGCTCACTACAGAACTCCCAAGAGTGAATACATAACTGGTCATCGATCTCCTCGTGTCAACATCTCCAGCATAGTCCGAGTCAGAATACCCAGACACCAAGCACTCTGTATCACTTCCGAAACTAATCCCCACATCAGGTGTACCCTTAAGGTACCGAAAGATCCTCTTCACAGGCTGCCAATGCTCCTTCCCAAGTTGTATCATGAACCTGCTAAGAACACTAACAACATGTGCAAGATCAGGTCTAGTGCATACCATAGCATACATCAAGCTACCTACTACACTAGCATATGGGACTCTCGACATGTACTCCTTCTCACCCTTTGACTGCGATGTGTAAGCTGAGGATAGATGAACATTTGAAGCACTAGGAGTATTTAAGGGTTTTGCTGAAGACATGCCAAACCTCGACAGTATTTTCTGGATGTAGCTCTTCTGTGACAAGAAAAGCTTCTTCTTCGATTTGTCCCTGTAAATCTCCAAACCCAAGATCTTCTGAGCAGCTCCCAAATCCTTCATCTCAAACTCAACACTAAAAAGCCCCTTTAACTTCTGGATATCAGACTTTGACCTCGCAGCTATGAGCATATCATCCACATACATAACTAGATATATCATCGAGCCATCCTCTACCTTGCTGTGATATACACAACAATCATACGGACTTCTGTTGTTGCCTAGCTCAATCATGTAACTGTCAAATCTCTTGTACCACTGCCTCGGAGATTGCTTAAGTCCATACAAGGACTTCTTCAGCTTACAAACATAGTCTTCTTTTCCTGGAACCTGGAATCCTTCTGGCTGAGTCATATAAATTTCTTCCTCCAACTCTCCATGAAGGAAAGCTGTCTTCACGTCTAGCTGCTCGAGCTCCAAGTCATAATGAGCTACTATTGCTAGTAGCACTCTAATCGAAGTATGCCTGACCACTGGTGAGAAAATCTCATTGTAGTCAACTCATTCCCTCTACGAGAAGCCTCGTGCAACCACCCGAGCTTTAAATTAATGCCCTCTTCAGAACTGATTCCTTCCTTCTTCTTGTAGATCCACTTGTTTGTTACAATCTTCCTTCCCAGTGGTCGTTTAACTAGCTCCCAAGTCTGATTCCTGTCATGGGATTCCATCTCATCTCCCATTGCGGCAAACCACTAATCAACTTCACCACCTGAAACTGCTTATCTATAGGTGACTCTCCTGCATCCACTTCTTCAGCAACTTGAAATGAATACGCCACCATGTCCTCGAAGCCATAACTCTGTGGAGGTACTCCTGCAGTCGCTCTCTTCGGTCTACCGGAAGCCATAGACTGTTGAGCTCGTGTACTGGACTCTGAAGTTTCTGGCTCTGTAGAGACATCTTCATCATGTTGATCTTCTCCACCTTGGTGCTCAAACTCACTCTCATTGAGATTTTGCAGCTCCACCTGCTTATCAACATTCCTGCTACCTTCAACATGGGGTTAAACATAGACTTCTCATCAAATATCACATTTCTACTGAGTCACACAAGTGACTAGACTCAAAATCCCTTAACTCCATCTCCGTAACCCATAAATATACCCTTCTTTGCCCTTGGGTTCAGTTTACCCTCATCAGCATGATAATAAATAGGACACCCAAAAACTTCAGTGAAGAGTAATCAGCAGGCTTACCATACCACACTTCATAAAGAGTCTTACACTCGATACCTGTGTGAGGTCCACGGTTGATCAGGAAGCACGCCATGTTTACTGCTTCTGCTCAGAATCTTCTCTCTAGTCCAGCATTAGAGAGCATGCACCGTGCTCTCTCCAACAATGTCTAGTTCATACTTTCTGCAACGCCATTCTGCTGGGGTGTATCTCTCACGGCCCGATGATGGGCAATCCCTTCATCCTTGCAGAATTCGTTGAACTCATAATTACAGAACTCCAAACCATTTTCCGTTCGCAGCTTCTTGATCTTCTTCCCGGTCTGATTCTCCACCAATGTCTTCCACTACTTGAACTTCGTGAGAGCCTCACTTTTCTGCTTCATCATGAAAATCCAAGTAAATCTCGAATAATCATCAATAATAGATAGAAAATACCTGCTGCCTCCAATTGATTCAACTCGTGAAGGACCCCAACAGTCGGAGTGGAGGTAATCTAGTATCCCCTTCTTTCAGTGGATACCCTTCTTGGGGAACTTGCTGCGATGTAGCTTCCCAAACACACAATGTCACAAAATTCCAAATTCTGCACCTTGTGCCTGCAAAGAAGATCCCTCTTTGACAGAACTTGCATCCCTCGTTCACTCATATGCCCCAGTCTCATGTGCCAGAGACTGGTCATATATTCCTGATGAACATGAGACAATGCCACTGCAGCAGAACCAGACAACACAGACCCTTGTAATGCATGCAAGGTCCCACGTTTCACGCCCTTCAGCACCTTCCTTGAACCTTTGCAGACATACACAACTCCACCTTTTCCTTTGAAGCTGAAACCCTAGCTGTCGAGTAGACTCAAGGAGATCAAGTTCTTTGTCATTCGTGGAACATGCCTGACATTATTCACGGTACAGAACGAACCATCATATGCCTGAACCTTTATGGACCCGATTCCAACAACCTTGCATACGGCTCCATTTGCCATGACCATGTTACCACAATCTATTTA